ATACTCAGAGCGCAATGGTGGGGGGGGGGGGGTGTCTTAGGAGGGGGCAGGGGCCCCCCCTCAGCAGCTAAATATACCCCTGACATTTACCTCTCTGCCAGACCCAGGCAACAAGGGATTTGCCAACTGCTGCCCCAAATACTCCCCCCATAGTAAACTGCCTGCAACCCCAAGCTTCCCCCAGTTCTGCTTGTGCCCCACCACCCTGCCCCACCATTCCTTGCTAGCCCAGCCCCAGGCTCACCCCAGCTTTGCCAGTGCCCCACAATTCCCACCTGTTGCTACCTACTAGCCCAGCCCTGAGCTCCGCCCGACTCTGCCAGTGCCCCACAATCCTGCCCTCCATCCCCTGCTAGCTCAGCCCCAGACTGTCCCCCAGCTTTGCCAGTGCCCCACAGCCCCGGTTATTCCAGGCCTGGGCTCCCACGACCTGCCTTTGATACAGATGGTCTCACCCAGTGCCTGGGGAAGGGAAGAGGGATCGGGGGTGTTTCCAGGGCATCCTAAGCCAGGGCAGGGGGTGTCTCCAGCCCACCCAGCTCCCCTACTGGAGGGGTGTATTCAATGCCCCACCCCTCCGGCCCTCCCTGGAGTCAGGGTGCTGGGCAGGGCTGCACCCACCTGCCGGCTGCTCCGTGGGACAGGCTGGTTCTGGGCTCAGTCCCGTCTGTCCTGCGCTTTGTGTTACAGCTCTTTGGAGCAGCACGGCCTATTTTTACCAGGAGGGAACAGGTGCCACTTTCATTCATGCTCCTCCACCCTGCCAGCTCCTCTGCCCCCTCCCCTAATGGCAGGGGGGATCCCCTCTCCCAGAGTGACCCCCCCCCCAGAGGAGCTTGACAGGTTATGGGGGGATCCCACTTGGCAGGGGACCTTCAGGTGGCAAATGGGAAAGTGGGCCACAGGGGACCCCACCCCAACTACAATAGGAACCCCTCCCCCATGCCAGGGTGCTGCCAGCTGTCCAGCTTGGCACCAGAGCTGGAGCTAACAGAGCCATGGGGTCACCCTGCTCCCAGGGGTCTCTTTCCCACTGGGGTGTGGGCCAGGGGGCTGTCGTCACCCCTCCCCCCAGTACTGTCATTACTTAGGCAGCTCTGCCACCCTGTGGCCAGGCCTAGGAATTACAGGTGCACCCCTAGGTGGGTGACCATAGCAGGGTCCTCAGTCCCTCCCAAACCCATGAGATGCAGGCGCTTCACTGCTGGATTTGGGGGTTACTTCCCACTGCACAGGTGGGACTCAGTTTTCCAGCCAATCAGGAAGGAGACTCTCCCCCTTCCCCGTAAATGCTGCTGGGGAACATCCAGGCCACCCAGGGTAGCACAACTGGTCTCCATCCTCAAGGGCAGGCAGCTCTGGGGCCTGGCTCACCAGCCTGGCCAGATGCTGGGGCTGAGACACTGTTGTGCGAGATGGTCATAAATGGGGCAGAAGGAAAAGACAGGGCAGGTTCCACCCAATCCAGTGCCCAGGCAGCTCCCTCTGCAGCTGTTACCTGCCTTCCCCTGGCATCTATGGCTTAGCCATACCCGATGCCTCCCTCCTAAAGGCAAAGGCTGCATGCTCTCGAGCAGTGTTTCCCAAATGGTGTTCCACGGAACCCCGGGGTTCCCCGAAGTAAAAATAAGGGTTCCTCACGAAAATTCCATTCCAATAACATTTTCTTATTAAAAAAATAATATTGAAGCATTTATTAATTTTATTGACAACAATTTTCATTTGTGTTTGCCACAATAAGTGCCCCTGTGTAATGCCAGCTTAGCCAGAGAGTGGGGATGATGACGTCACTAGTCAGTGCTGATGTCCATCTATTAGACTGTTATTAGGGGTTCTGCAAAATTCTTTCGAGTTTAAAAGGGTTCCATGGCTAAATTAAATTGGGAAATGCTGCTCTGGTGGGTAGAGCTGGGAACTGGGAGTCAGGAGAACTGGGTTCAGTCCTGATTCTGAACTTGGGCGAGTCTCTGCCCCTGTTTCCCCATGTGTAATACAGGGGCGGGGCACGACAAAGCAGGTGCACACACTGCCAAGGACGAGCTGCCTGGCTCTGTATTTAGTACAAGGCTCTGACCATCGCTGGCTCAGAGGCCAACAGCAGCTGTTAGGAGGACACAGAGTCCCATGCATTTGTTAATGGCAGGCAGGTGGTAAGGCTGGCAGCCAGGCTAGGGCAGGGACTTATGAAATGTATGGGGCTTGATCGGACAGATCCTACCTCAGCTCCCCTGGCGGTGGGGTCCACACTATAGTGTTGCTCTTTCTCTCTGGGGCCTATGGCAAGAGGTGTTGCCTGCCTGGGCTCAAAGGGAGAGAGGGGCTGATGGTGCCCGACACAATGGTACTGGCTGTGCCCAGGCTCCGGAGGCTCTGCTCCTGGCCTGATCCGCCTCCGTGGACAGGGGACTCTGGGAGCCCATGGCAAATAAAGTCACAGCCCCAC